CTGGGCCACCCTCACAATTGCTCTTCTGTTCGAGCCCATCACTGCAGTCGCTGTGTCAGCCCATCTTGTGGAAGGTAGTCATCTTTTTGACTGCTTTGCTACTTGCCCACTCAGGCTATATATGAGGAGTCCCCCCCTTCCCCTCCCCCCCCAAAAAAAAACATATTTTTTTCAAAGCTATGTTTTAAATTTTTTACAAAACAACCTTATCATCTTCAGCATATGTGAATAGAGTGACTTCAGACAGACAAACTCCACTTTAAATTAAGCATGACCTCAACCCTTTTAAAGAAGACATTTAGATTTGACCTAGTTTTTTTTTTTTTAATGTTACTTTTCAAACAACGAAGACAAGAATCAGAATTTCTAACTTAGCCTTCTTCATGAGTCTGTTCTTAGTCTGGAAGTTCTGCTGAAAACTTATTCACTTAGGGTGACCCTAGTGCTATTTAAAAGACTAGTGACATGGCGTCCACCACCACTGCCACACATAAGCCACTGTGGACCACAAACCGACAGACCAGTAGTGGTAGGATCGTATGTTGTTGTTAGGGGTCCTGGAGTCAGTTCTGACCCTCAGTTGTGTTGCTGTGTGGTGGAAGGCCACGTCACTGGTATTTCAGAGGCCAGCTGGGTCACCCAAAGTGAATCGGTTTCAGAGCTTCCAGACTGAGAAGAGACCAGGAGGAGGGAGCCACTGATTGATTGTGCAGTGCTTGCTAAACTTGCTATCTTGATGCTCTGTTAACTACCAGGTGAATTGTCCTGTCACATCCCCTCATCCAAGCAAGCAATGTCTTACAAGTCAAAGGCTTCAGCTTAAAGTTGATTCAACCTCATAGCCCAGTGGTTCTCAACCGTCCTAATGCCACAACCCCTTCATACAGTTCCTCATGTTGTGGTGACCCCCATACTACTTCATAACTGTCATTTTGCTACTGTTATGAATCGGGCGACCCCTGTAAAAGGGTTGTTCAGTCCCCAGACCCTATGGGAGTCGGCCACAGTATTCCAAGCCTCCTGTGCAAGGAGAATGGAGGGTGCTGACAACCAGGGTGCAGGAGAACAAGGTAGACCAGTGAGACAGAGTATGTATCGAGGTCATAGACCAAGATTTTTCAGGGGCCCTCCTCGCCAAGGACAGCCTAGAGAGGATGGCAGTGAGAAGGATAAGGAAAATCAAGGTGAAACCCAAGGTCAGCAGCCACCTCAATGTCGGTACCGCCGCAACTTCAATTACCAACAGACGCCCAGATAACCCTAAACCACAAGATGGCAAAGAGACAAACGCAGCCCATCCACTAGCTGAGAATTCGTCCACTCCCTAGGCTGAGTAGGGTGGGGCAAAGTACACGCGGCTTCCCATCTGTACCATCATCCGGTTTAGTCATCCAACAAGAACTGAATATGAAATTCCAGCAATAAGAAATGAACAAAAGATTGGAGCGGAAGACCTTACGTGCTTGTTTTTTGCCCATTGACCAGAAAACGAAAACTATGTGCATTATCTATGCAGCATGGGGTTTTTATTGTTTTTACCTAAAGATGTCTTTTTGGTAATAACAAGCATGCATTTTAAAAAGCCTGGTTTTTCTCAATACACCTTTAAAGGTTTTTTAATTGTTTCCTATCTGGTCAAGTTGGAATTTTTAAGAACCTCATTTTTAATTTGTAATAAAAGTTTACAGCTTGATTTAAAAAAAAGTCAACTGCAAGCACCTGTTAAAGGTCTTAAATTAAAAAACCATCAAGTTTTATCAGGAGATAAATCAATGTTTGCTGCTCACCTGGGCAGCACATATACTAAAAATTGCACCGAAAGGGCTCAAGTAGAAAGAAAATGCGGGAAAAAAAAGAAAGAAAATGCTTTGAAGTTGGCAACATATGTACAAATGTGCTTGACACAATGGATGTACCTATGGATTGTGATAAGAGCAGTAAGAACCCCCAATAAGATGATTTAATAAAAAATTGGAAGGATAAAGATTAGCACGGTCCCTATGTAAGAAATTCCTGCTTGGCTAGGAATGACATTTGTGATTCAATCACCTGTAAATTTTCTTCCCTCTCCCTGCATTTGTGTGCTGTAAAACTTCCTCTTTGCTTGACCAAAAAGGAGCCCTTGTCTCAGTGGGCTACGCACAGAACTGCGAATCACAAGGTTACCAGCTCAAACTCAACTGCTCAGCAGAAGAGTTAGAGTCTGAGAAGCCCACAGGGGCCGTTCTACCTTGTCCTATAGGGTCACCATGAGTCAGAATCGACTGGGGGACAACGAATATTGCTTTACCGGATAAAAAGTGTCTCCCAGCAAAGGAGGATATGTTCTTGTAAGGTCCTATGTGGAATAAGTTCATGAAATGCAGTTATTTAATATACTTCTAATAGTTTAGTGTTTCCGCTAAGATTGGGTAGGGGGAGGCGGGGAGACTGGCAAGGCACGGAGGGGAAGACCAAATAGCTATCCCAGTGCAGGTCCCAGCCCTCTGGAGGCCTCCTGTCCCAGGCACTGGTCTGAGCTGGGGGCTTAGTGAACAGCAAGTCCATGCCTTCAAGTACGCTGTTTGAGCAGTTCCAGGCCCAGGGCGACTGCTACACCCAAGACCACGGAGGAAGCAGCGGGAAGATCGCTCAACTTCCCACCAGAGTCTCACCACTTTCTCCCTGTCGCCCCTAGGGAAAGTGGGGCTAGGCGGTCTCTCTTGGCCATGACCCCTAACCTTCAGTTAGATCACTATTGCCTAGACACAAGACCCTTTTGCTAGCCTAGAAGCCAGGCCCACTCCACTTTTGCCCCCACCCCCACAAACATCTGTTAGGTGCCATTCAGTTGATTCCGACCCATAGTAACCCTGTGCACCCCAGGAAACACGGCCCAGCCCCGTGTCACCATCACCATTGTGCCCGAGCCCACTATTGCAGCCACCGTGTCAATCCATCTCCTTGAGGGGCCTTCTGTGTCACGGTCCAACTTGATCAAACATGTCCTTCCCAGGGACTGGGCTTTCCTGGCACAGCTTGTCAGATGAAGTCTCACTTCTAAGGAGCCCCTCCCCCTCCACCCAATTACAGTCACCCCCCGGGGAAAGGAACCCTGGCCCCAGGCAGGCTGTGTTGCCTAGAAGCCAGGGGGAAATGCAGGTTTTCCTGTGCTGTGCAGACAGGTAGATTCACAGGACCTGCTGGCACGTGGATTGTCCATTTCAGCCCAGAGCAAACGTTTCCAGCCCCTGCCCCGATCAGCAGTCACTCCACGACACTTCAGAGAGATTGCTTTTTCTTTATTGGGAAGCATACGCGGGACACAGCACAGGGTAGGAGCTTGTACGCTGCCACCTGGCAAGGCCCAGGACCACAGCAGCCAGGCTCAGGGTCACCACCACCACCACCAGACCTAAAGCCAGGCTCACGGAGCTGTGAGCAGCAGAGGTCCAGCCCTCCCTCCTGTGGTCACCAGCCTTTCCCAGGAAGATCAGTGGCCCCACCGTAAGGTCTGCTTCTTCTGTCACTGTGAAAGAAAGAAAGACACCTGAGTTCCTCCAATTCCCGCTCCCCCTTCTGGGAATCAGCTTAGCCATTGTGCTCGCTTGCCCCCAGCATTGCTCTCTGCACCCTGGTAGGTTTCAGTAGACTCTCAGGACAGCTGGTCCAGGGGCTTGGAGCTCCTCCTACTGAAGCCTACACTATCAGGTGCCCTGAAGCTCCCCACCCCCCTGCACGATCACCCTGAATGAGAACGGAGGGAGAAGAGGCGAGCCCCTGCTCTCCCATACGTTGGTAGCAGGTGTTCTAGGTGAAGGGACAAGCGATAGCGGCCGCGCCAAGACGTACCCTGTCTCCGTTTGCGGGACACCAGCTTCTGCCACTGGCTCACCGACAGCTGGTCTACAGGGGGCAGCCTCCTGGGAGGATCCGGCGCGCCACAGTTGCCCTGGTTACAGCACTCACAGATGTCACTTGTGCCTTCCACAGGGTGCCAACTGCCGAGGAGAGGAGAGGCTTAGCAGGGTTTTGCTGCCTGCGGGGAAAGTCTGATGCTCCCGTCTCCACCGCAGGGACAGAATGGAGAGGGCGGTCACTTGGGGTTTCCGCTTCCGGCATAGGCTTTGTCTTTACCTATTGGTCGTCTTGTTGAAGGAGCAGGCTTTGTTGAGCCGGTCTGGGGCTTGCTCATCCGGAGTGACTTTCAGATGGCAGGTGATATAGATCTAGAAGTTGAGAACCATGGACAGTAACAATCTCATCTATCAAGGGGCCAGGTGGGTGGGGGAGGGAGGGGAAAAAAGAGGAGCTGATCCCAAGGGCTCGATGGAAAGTTCATGTCTAGAAAAGAACAATGGCAATTGATGTACTAATATGTCGGATACAATTGACGTATGGATTATAACAAGGGTTGTAAGAGCCCCCAATAAAATGATCTTTAAAAAAACCCAAAAAACCATTAGTAGGCCGTGCTAATGACTCTCAGGAGACCTTTGCCCTTACATAACCCTTCTGACCATGGAAGAGCACCCACTTAGAGATGCAGCCCCAGAGGGGCAAAGGTCAACTTGCCCCAAGATGGCCGAACAAGTAGCAAATCCCACTTGGGACGACCAGTTTGCAGCCTTTCCTGCCTGACCCTGGGCCCATTGAGAACCATGAAGGGTGATGCTGGGGAAGTGGAGCCCTGCTAAGACCACTGTCTTGACTAGCCGACAAACGGCTTTTCTTCAAGAGATGTCATCACCAAGGGGGCTCCCCATTTTGCAGCTGAGGAATGGGGCAAGTCACTTTGGGGACTCAAGGTCCCTAGGCAACCAAGGGGTCTCCCTTCAACTAACTTCTTTTGGAATTCTTATTTCAGACTTGGGAGTCAAAGCTCACTGGCTGTTTCTCCTTAGACCTTAAGGCATGCTTCTCTGAGCTAGGGTACCAGAGTGCTGCCAAAAACTGTATGGAAACATTCCATTAGCTTGTAACTCCATCTTTCCTTATTTGAGGGTAGGGTGGGAGGAAGTGCCCTTGTGCGTGCCTATGTCGTTAACTCCCATCAAGCTGAACCCGGACTCCTCATTGTGACTCCAGGCATGTCAGCAAAAATACTACCCTGGTCCGGCACCATATCCTGTGGTCAGTGACAAAGCAAACCATTGGGGATCCATAGGGTGGCTGCAGCCCGGTTTTCAGAAGCCAGTCCAGCAGCTCTTTCTGGTCCCTCTGGGAGCTCTGCTGAAGTCTGGCCAGCCTTTGTGCAATTCCCAAGCCTCCATTGCCAGGAGGGTGGTGGTGGGGTCATGGCAATGTTTGAGGTACCTCGAGAGGGAATTGAGCCCAGTTGTCCTGCACAGGTGGTAAACATTACCCCCTATCTACCTTAGAAATCTCTATGTCAATGTATCCATGGCATGTGAACCAGATGACTAGGTTGGCACCCTGGCCTAGACCTGGCACAGCCACCATCTCTAGGAAATGCTATCCAGACCACCCTCATCTAGCTAGTTTGAGGAGGCGCTCAGGCACACGGCTGGGAACCAAGGACTCCAAAAATCCAGGTTAGTTGTCAGGATCAGGGTTCCGTCCCCCACCCCTACCGTCTGCTGTGAAGCCAGCATGCACTGGTCAGAGATAGCGCCAACAGAGTTCCCCTCTTCTAGGCAGGCTGCAATACCTCCCTGTCCAATTCTCCGAAGGAATGGCACACCCTTGCCAAAGAAGCCTCTCCTGAAGTTACAACCCGTGACCGCCACCTAGTGTCCGAGTTCTTCAGGAAAACTCCCAGGGACTAGCTGGTCATAAAACAACAAAAAACGCTCCCTGCCATACTGACCCGGAGTGAACTCATGGGACAGGGTGGCTCTCCCCCAGGAATTTCAGAGACAACTTCCCGGGAATAGAAAGCCCGGTCTTTCCCTCAGAGCAGTGGGTGGCTTCAAACCGCGGACCACGTGGGTCCCAGCCCAACTAGTAGCCACGATACCACTGCCACCAGGGCTCCTCCTAGGTGGGCATCTCACTCACCGCCATGTAATCCCTGCCCATTCAGTGACCCCCCGTGGGTTTCCCAGATTGCTTGGCCGCAGAACTGCTGGTAGTTTTGAGCTGAAAGCATGCATATCGCAGCCCAACACGGAGCCACGATGGGCGTCTAAGTGTGCCCCCCCCAAAAAAAAAAAACAAAAAAAACAACAACTGGCTGCTCTTGGGTCAATCCTGACTCACAGTGACCCTATAGGACAGGGTAGAACTGCCCCTGTGGGTTTGAGACTAATAACTTTATGGAAGTAGAAAGCCCCTTTCACCCTCAGAGCCACAGGTGGTTTTGAACTGCTAGCTGACCTTGTGGTTAGCAGCCCAATAGGTAACTGCTAGGCCACCAGGGCTCTAAGTGTGCCCCAGCAGTTCAAATTGTGTTGTCCAAGGTCAACATTACCCTATACAACCAGTGTTGTTGACGCTTCTTCCCGACCAGCTATTCTGAACGCACTGTCACCCATTCTTGTCTGGGGATTTTAGAGAAGAGCTTGTCTGTTTATACTTAAGGTCCTCCCAGCGCGTCTAGGCCAGAGGTCAGTCCTTCCCCCTCCTTCCCCTCCCCGAGCCAAGAGCAGAGCCCACCTTCTAGCTACTTTCTTCTCCACTCCTCCCCACCTACCCCCTCCTTTGGGGGGGGGATGAGCTTTCTCCGACTTGGTGGTTCTCAAGGTGTGGCCGCATCAGCGTCACCTGAGTGCTTATTACAAATGCAAATTCTCCCTCCACTCCAGGACTACCGAATCAGGAACCTCCAGCAGTGTGTTCAACCGAGCCCTCCACGCGATGGGTATGCACTCAAGTTTCAGAAATGCTGGTCTAGGACTATCGACGTCAAGAAGCCGTACTATGAAAAGTTCTTCACACCCACTCCCCACCCCCCTCCGCGATTATGGCCCATAGCCACCATCCTCCTTCAATCAGGAAATAGAATCCATCCCCTTGGCTCAACCCTCAGCCACACAATAGACAGGTCTATAAAATGACCAGTTGAACATCAGAGGTATGCACACCTTAGAACAAGGGTCCTCAAACTTTTTAAACAGGGCCAATTCACTGTCCCTCAGACCGTTGGAGGGCCCGACTATAGTTTACAAGAAGACTATGAACAAATTCCTGTGCACACTGCACATATCTTATTTTGAAGTAAAAAACCAAAACGGGGCAAAAACACCCGGCTGGCTGGATAAATGTCCTCGGCGGGCCGCATGTGGCCTGCGGGCCATAGTGTGAGGGCCCCTGCCTTAGAACCATCAACCCTTCTGAATCAAAGGGGAATCACAGCCAAGGACAAAGTTCAGAAGGCAGGACTCGGCGGTGAAGGTGAATGGAAACTTAAAGGCAGGGAAGCAGCGAGAGTTAGCACTGTTCCATTGTGGGAATGCACTGTTCCATTGTGGGAATGCACTGTTCCATTGTGGGAATGCACTGTTCCATTGTGGGAATGGCGGGCAATGACATGAAACAAAAGGCATGTGAACTGTTGAATGGAAAAATCAATTTGCTCTAAAACCTTCACCCAAATCAATTTATTTGTTAAGTCTTTATATCCCTCTTTCTTGCCTTTCATTCAACCCCCCAGGAAGCTTGACATCTACACTCTTTGGTCAAGTCCCTCCCTCACCCTCCCCACCCCATGCCTTAATCTGGGCTCCTGCCCTGCCAAGACGGTTGGTCCATGGTGTGGGTCTTCGTCTTTGCTCTTTCGGATACATCTCTGGGTCCTGCCCCCCATTCTCATTTGTTCTGGTCCTGCAGCCTCTGGGTTTCCGTTCCTACCCTT